TGTACAAATCTACAAAAATTGTGAGTGATGTCTTGCATCTTTCAATTACAAATGAGAAAATCCTGACCGTGAATGAGTGTCTGTGTGGTTTTTAAAGCAAGAGGGGTCCATGCCATACATAATATTATATTAAATATAGTATATCATAAAATATAAATTATTTTATAATATACTATATTTAATAGACATATTTTATTGATTTTATATCAATTTCATCAAAGGCTCTTAATTTATGTAAAAATATTGTATTTTATATCAAATGTATTTAATAATGAAATATTGTATTTTAATACTATTTAATAATGACAAAGTGATTAATATAATAGCTGGAAATGTTAGTTCTCCACCTTGTTTTGCCTTAAATTTCATGCAATATATAGCTTAATTTATAGGCTATCAATGTTTTTTTACAGTTGACAAATTATATTGTTAATAGTAATACTGCAACTTTGCTACACTGGTGATAAGCCTCCCAATTTTATGCTGTATACATACATTCAGTATTAAATAATGAAACTGGGAAACTAACTGGGAAGCTAACTTCTGAATCTCTTACATGCAGTTGACATAATTTTTATAAATTATAGTGCTAGATTTCAAGGTTTAATTAGTCACCATAGGCACAGGAGGAAAGTTTTGAAATTTAAAATTGAGGAGCACTTCATGTCAACAGCACCAAATTTATAATTTGTAAACTTTTGAAGAGAAATTGGGCAAGGCAGAGGCAGTGCAAGGATCAGGTATGGGGGAGGGGGGCTGTAGCTCCCCTATGTGGAAATTCTAGCCCCTCCCCAATCAGGGAAGTGGAATGTACTGGGAAAAATTATGTTTTGTAATGACCTTGTTTTGTAGTCCTGGTAAATGCACTGTTACAGACAATAAATTCTGCACCATTTCATGAGAGCCAAAAAATTCAACATTTTCATGTGTGAGCATAAGTTGAACATACAAAACAATAATTTTACTGTTTGAAAGATTATAGCCCCCTGTTGGGAACCTGATATTCCTTGTCGGGGAACCTGATATTCCTTGTCGGGGACTTGATATTCCTTGTCGGGGAACTCCTGGAGCATCCGGCCTCCACACACAAGCACACTGGTACCCACACACCTCCATTTCCTACACCACTGCAATATTAAAGCACAGCATGGATGCACCATAAAGCTGTTATTTATTTTTTACAGTATCTTTATTAACACACCAAATTTTCATAGAGGAAATTGTAAGAATAAATCATTATTTATATCAATGACACAAAATTGTTTATTTTGTTCATGTAATTTCTTTCTTTCTCTGAGTTGATGAAATTTCTTTCTTTCTCTGAGTTGATGCAACTTCTTTCTCTGAGTTGATGAAGAAACAAACTTCCCGACATACCAATCCTTTCATAGCAAGGCCTGAAATCCTTCCTAAAGTAGTAGTACAATGTTTATAAATTAAAACAATCTTTAGCCAAAAATTTTAGGCCAATCATAATTTAACAGCAACATGGATAATTTTATGATTGAAAATGGCTGGCAAGAAAATACATATTTCAAGTCATATATATGTATTAAACTGTACACTATGATACTAGCTTGTAGTATGCAGTCACACATGATACCTTACAGTTGTATATCCTACAAACAATCGTTATCTGGGGATACCAAGATTAAGGTGGGGGTAGGGGTGAGGGGGGGTAGGTGGGATGCACATAATATTTCAGGTTTTTATGCTCATTGTCTCTGTCTAAATGCCGCATTTTACATGTGCCAAATCTAATGTGAATTTACATGGTTTGACTCAAAATAATAAAGTTTGACTCAAATAATAAAGTTTGACATTTTGATTTAAATGTTGAATTTATGTACATACCGATACGTAGTAAACATATGTTACTTATACATTTGTCCAAAGTGGCAAAGTAATTACTTTGCAATTATACCTCTCTCCCCTTGATGAGCAAAATTGTCTGACATTAGACAGTAAGATAGTAAAGTACAATAGATAATCTGATTAACCCATTGAGCAGTAGCACTCTCACATTGACCAGTACACTCAATCATCTGGCATGTTAAGCTGAGTAAAATAATTTGGTAGCACTTAAAAGGTTGAACAAACTTTTCTAGACTTGGCACATGTAAAATGCAGCGTTTAGACCGGACGTTTTAAACAGAATATATGTTGTCTGTATGTGTACAGTCTTGCAGATAATATAGCAAAGAAAGAATATTGAGAAACAACCAAATATATCAGTATCACTCACTCACCATTCAGTAGCAAGATTGGGCTTCGTCCACAACTATCGCTTTTAAATTGTCTGTATATTTCGTCGATTATAATAAAAATTCAAAAACTTTCATGTTCTCCAATTGATTGCTGTCCGTAGACAATGACTCTCCCAAACTACACATTGTATCCTTCGATTCATCAACTTGAACAGCTTTCATAATTGAAACATTTACATGATCCTTTAGTTTACTGATTTGGTCAATCATTAAAACATTTAATGGTGAAATAACCAGATCAAATTAATGTTTATCTTGCATGCAAAACATTATTTCTTTCGAGAAATTCTCAAAGTTCACTCCTTGCAAAAAAAGATGCAGAGTCAGCATTTTATTACGTTTACTTCCGGCAAACTACAAGATTTTTGAAGTTCCGGTTTTGGTTTTCGCCAGGGCCTCCGGCAACGCAGTGTCAGCCGTGAGGCCCTGGGACCGAGGATGCTATTAAGATGAACATTTGATCAAACTCGGGTCCTGTCTTTTTGGCCAACAACAGCGCGCGCCATACAATAACAACATGGCGTCCAGACCTAAGCGAATTTTACAAAAACCTCAACGTTTTGCCGATGAATTCGTTGTTTCGAACATAAAAGAGCGGGTCAAACGACCGAAGAAAGACAACAATCTCTAGGAAGTTGACGTTAAAGAGGTTAACCAGTAGAATAAACGTGTGTGAATTCAATCAAACTGTAAAGTAATATAATACCAAAATAATATGTATCGCAATTCCCAAGCCGTGTACATAGTTCCACATTTGTGAAAATTTAATATTTGCCGAAGTAAGCGCAACTATAAAGTATTACAATTAGTACAAATATAAACGATCCCTTACTTGCCTATCTCGTATACGTTTCCGTTGGACCGAATTCTGCATTTATAACATCATTACCAACAGCGCAAACTGTATGAATTAATGTTGTAAATAAACAATATACAAATGAGAAGCAAAATCCCCAAATGCATATAATACAAGGCCATTAGTCCGAGAGTAATTCGCGGCGAATATGTATGAACTTAGTATCAAAATACGCGCCAAAACACGTAGATTCCAAATCCGTTTCTGAAAGTGAAGTTATGTACAACAGTGGAAGCACTAGAGCCAGTTTTCTTCCCACTTCCGCTCTACACGGCAATTTTTTATATATATTCTTAGTATAGCGTGCGACTTCAACCCCCCGAGTCCGACTCCGGATTGCAACGTATCTTTGTCAAAATCGTTGCAGAAGACGTAGAATGCGTCCAAATTTTATATTCCGTTTCAGAAAATGTACTTTGTTTAACTTACAAAGCACACAGGCGAAAAAACTGCATATTTTGCATGAATTTATATAGCGCGCCGTTGGGGGTATACTTGTCTGTAACACGATAAGACTTTTTGTACACGGAGAGTTTGATATGGCAGCAAATGTTATTCCATTATTTAAAACTAAAGTAGATCGTGAGTCAAAGTTGAATTATAGGCCGATTTCATTGTTAGATTCATTATCTAAAATAATTGAAAGAGTCGTTTTTACAAGACTTTACAATTTTTTGTTGGATATAAAATTCTTAAACCCATTGCAATCAGGCTATCGGCCAGGTGATTCGACAGTAAATCAACTAGTATATTTAGTACATAAGATCCACGAGGCATTTGAGCAAGGCAAAGACGTAAGAATGGTTTTCATTGACATCAGTAAAGCGTTTGACAGAGTTTGGCACAAGGGTCTTTTACACAAGCTTCAATTAATTGGTGTTGGGGACCCTTTATTAAGTTGGTTTGAAAGTTATTTATCTAATCGGAAACAACGAGTGATCATAGATGGTCAGTATTCACAGTGGAAAAATATAAACGCAGGTGTGCCTCAGGGGTCCGTACTTGGTCCGTTGCTTTTTTTGATTTATATAAACGATATCACTGAAAACCTTGAATCCCATTCTTTATTATATGCTGACGACACTTCTTTGTATGATGTTGTTGACAATCCAGATACGTCTTCAACAAAATTAAATAACGATCTTATAGAAATAGAAAAATGGGCAAAACGATGGCTTGCTACTATAAATATAAAGAAGACAAAATGCATGACTTTTTCAGTTAAAAGACTCAAACCACCCCATCCCGATCTTTATTTTGCAAACGAGAAAATTTGTGAAGTTTTGCAACATACTCATCTTGGCGTCAAACTCACAGCAAACCTCTCTTGGAAAGCCCATATTGTAAATATTTTTGAAAATGCTAATAAAAAGTTAAATATGTTAAAAGGCCTGAAATTTAAAGTGAGTAGAGACACTCTAGGCAAGTTATATAAATCACTTATTCGTCCTGTTATGGAGTATGCAGACGTATTGTGGGACAACGGTATAGCCAGTGATTGTGATCTACTTGAGCATGTACAATATGAGGCAGCTAAGATTGTAACCGGGGCAATAAAAGGAACTAGTAAGCATCGTCTCATGCAAGAAGTGGGATGGGAAAGTATGTCTACTAGAAGAAAAATCCATAAGCTTATCTTATGTTATAAGATTGTAAATAACCTGAGTCCATCTTATCTCAAAGAATTACTTCCTTTACAAGTCTCCGAAAGAACAAACTATTCTCTAAGAACGGTTTCAGATTTTTCTCTTTTTAATAGTCACACTGAACGTTACAAAGCATCCTTTTTTCCATCTGCTGCAAGACTGTGGAATAGTATAAACATCGAAACGCGTTCGCTAGTTTCACTCGATTTTTTTTAAAAATGCTTTAGTTAGCATTTTTGACTTACCTGTTCCAAATGGCATTTATAATTTATCAAATGATAGATTTTCCTCTGTTTATCACACTCGCCTGCGCTTAGGTGCTTGTGCACTAAATTTCTACCTCTTTAAAATAAGTTGTAAAGTATCCCCAGTTTGTATGTGTGGTTTTAATACTGAAACTATAAAACATTATTTTCTTTATTGTCCAATTTTTGCTGCCCAAAGACAGAAACTGCTCTCCTCTGCTGCTCAGCTGTTTGCTGACGATTGGTCAAGAATAAACGACGCGCAAATTGTTGAAATGTTTTTGCATGGATCATCTTTATTATCATTAGAATCAAACAGAGAGTTATTTTCTCTTGTGCAGTCGTACATAAATGAAACAAAACGTTTTCATCCGCACGATTCTTGACTTCCGTCAGTTCTTTTTTCCCTCTCTTTTATTATATACTTGGCATGTTACAAAATACTGTGTGCAATTGTAAGGAGTGAGCCCCCTAGATGAGCGCATGCGCTCTTGGGGAAAACTTCGTTTGTTTGAACAATTAAAATATGTTTAAATCAAGTTGCATTGTGCACCAAGGCAGCTTACTTGATCTTTTACTCTGTCTATGACCATATTGGGATATGTAAAAATGCTCGCGTGAAGCTGTTTATATGAGTAGTATTTGATAGGTATTGACTATTTAGATGGAAATTGCGAGTGGAAATTTATATACGTTTATTAGACCTAATCAGGAACAGAAACGAAAAATACAACTTACCTTTTAGATCCCTGGCAAGGATTGGACCGCGGCCCTGCGATTCCGGTGCAGCGTTCGATAATTGGCCTTTGTAGCTTTGCAGTTGGTTACAGGCTACAGCGCTGCACCGGAATCGCAGAAGCGCAGGTTCAATTCCTGTCGGGGACCTAAAGTTGCATTTTTCGCTTCTGTTCCTAGTTATACTGTAGGTTTAATAAATGTATATAAATTTCCACTTGACAATTTCCATCTACAATACCCGTCAAATATTATTCATTCGAGTGAGATGCCACAAAAATCCTAAACTCTTCCGAACTCCCCCAACAGGATTCAATGACTCAAGAGTATAAATAATACATAGGTGCACGGAAATTCCAGATTTATTTCTCGTGTTGAACATGATATCTCAAGAGTGAATTATATATCATGTTCAACACGAGTAATAAATCTGGTATATATTTCCAAGCATGCATCCATGTATTTTTCTGTTTATTATATAAAGGACAGTCTTTGAAAAGCGATAATTTTTACAGAAAAGCGATAATTAAAAAGTGATAATTTTCAGGTGTGAAATTATTATAAGTAATACCATGGTTTTTAAGAATATCTCCCGCAAACCGAGGGAGGTTTGTGAAAGTCCCGAGGGAAAGCCTGAGGGCGAAGCCCGAAGGCGTCCCGAGGGACTTTCACAAACCTCCTCGGTTTGCGGGAGATTTATTCACTATATTCTTAAAAACCATGGTATTAGTTTGTAATACCATGATGACCGAGGTGAGGCTAGTGTTTTCATTGTACAAAATTAATTGATAGTACGAGTATTGTGTAATACAATGCATGATCAGTGATGTATACAACAATTTTCCATTGTCGGAAATTCGTTGGGAATAAACAATTCTTAATATACGTGTGTCAGTGCCGGGTGCATGTGCATGCATGCATATAAAATGAGTTACTTTTTAACTCAACTCAAGTCTTGTTTTTGGACACTCACTAAGAATGATATGGCGGATAAACGTTTCTCGTTTGTTATGGAAGCCGATGTTCAGAAAGTTAGAGATAACAGAACGCCTGAGAATACTATCAAACACACTAGGTGGAGCACGAATGTTTATAAAGCATGGGCAAAGGCAAGAAATACCGAGTTGCGTGACTTTGAAGCCGAGAGTGAAGTATTCAAGCGTGTGCTAGATTTGCAGGAGATGAGCGTTGACGAAATTAATCACTGGTTTAGCCGATTAACGCTAGAAGTACGGAAGAGAAACGGTAAAGAATATCGCCATGAAGTCATGTATAGCCTGTTTTGTGGTTTAAACCGAACAGTTCAG